ATGAAGGAAGAAGTACAGAATAGAAAATAGATAAGAAAAATCAAGAATAAATAGATAATCACACATCCGAAAAGAATACTCAATAGGAGTTACGAAGCCAGGTGATCTCACGTACTCAGAGCACCGCGGTTATCTCCGTCAGCGCGTAGCGCCTCTGCTCCGGCGTTCCAGTCCGGCGTCGGCTCGAGGACGCCATCTACGCTCCAGGAGGCCGCATCCTGCTCGCCCGCGGCCGTTGGGCCGCTACTCGTCGCTCTACACTACTCGGCGACGCCGTCGCAGGGGTCGTCGGCTGGGACTGGAGAACTTCTACCTCGTCCGCGCTCGGCTCTTCTTCAACGCTTGAAGGAGGAAAGGAGGAGGAGGAGGAGAGGAGGAAGAGGGAGCGATCATCGCCAACAGAAAACCATCTCGTCATCCACACACGGGCTCATCGAGGCGGGGTGAGGCGAAGAAGCGAGGCGGGAAGAACGCCGGAGTCCCTGCAGCGAGGTGAATAGCACCAGCGCCATTACGCAGCTCGCATCGTCGTCCACCGCGGCTGCGGCGGCGAGAGAGGGCATGAGGGCAGGAGGCGCGGGAGCGCACGAAGACGAAAGTCCTCCAAGTACTCCAGATCTGACGATTCGCGATCCGATTCGGCTCGCTCGCGCTCCGTTCTCGACCCGCTTCCGTCGAGATCGGGTCCTCCGCAGGGGTCGGGTCCCGTCGATACGGACTCCTCCGCCGCTCCGCCTCCGTTCGGGATCCTGAGATGGCTTGCGCGCACCGGACTGGCGGAGATCGTGGCTGCGGCTGAGGATGTAAGCTTCCTAAAGGGGCGCGGCGCGAGAAAGTGTCGGAAGATTCTATAGACAGGAGGGGATCAGTGATCGCAGCTTCAGCTGCGCGTCGTGGGAGATTTGGAATAGGCGTTAAGGGTTCACAGTGCGCGCTTCTCTACGTTTCTTTGGGGCTTTCTCTTTTTGTTTGTTGTAAACGTTACATTCGATAGCGTTTTAAGTGCGCTGTCTGGACGCTGGGCTCGACGCCGCTTGGCGATCAGGGTACGCGCTTTGATGCTGGCGGCGTTCGCGCGCGGCGAAGGAGGAAGAGCTCGATTGCGAATAGAGTGTCTATACTTTTACTCAATTGTGTATCAACTCCACTAGTATAGATGAATTCTGAGTGAATATTTGAGTCTTCTTTACTTAAAGAGGTAGATTTGTCAAAATATGAACTTTTTTTTTTTTTTTTGCTTTGAGGCTAAAATAGTCGCACAAAAAAAAAACTTATCTTTTTCACACATTTGGTGTCTTTGGAAAGGGAAGGCGAGCCGCTTTTTTTTTTTTTTGTGGGGTCAAAAGTAGTAGACAGTAGACTGACACAGTTGCTGCTGTTGTGTAATTTTATAAGTTGGTGGATGGCAATTTGAGATGGATGCTAACTTTTCCCCCCAAAAAGAGTCAAAGAAAGAAGGGAAATTTTTCCTTTTTCCCCCCACTAAACTTTCCCCTCTCTGATTGAGGACCCTGGAATAAATAGGAGAGGATAAAAGCGCGCTTTATAGCTGTTAATTCGAGCTTGGGGGTGGTGTTTGTAGACTTTAGAGGGAGCACAAATTCGCCTCTGCTACTTTTTTTTTTTTTTTTTTTTAAGGAGGGACCATAAAGTGCTACTTTTTTTTTTTTTTTTTTTTAAGGAGGGACCATAAAGTTTAAGAGAAAATGCTCGTGAAAGCAAGCACACACGTTGTATTTTCAAATCCGGATTCATGAGCAAGCGGGAAAACTTCTTTCTTTTCCTTTTTTTTTTTTTGTTTTTTTTTCCTCCCCCTTGCACCAATTATGCTAAATTGGAATGCATCCTTTACTCTCTTGATTATTTCGCCAAACAAAAAAATAAAAAAATAACCTCTTTAAGTAAAGAATTTAACCTGAAATTGAGCTGTTACTGCCGTGAAAAAATGAAAACCGTAGAAGGCTCGCCATCTTGATGTCATCTTGAATTTGTTAATGGTGTTTACATTTTAATAAGTCCATGCAAATGAACCTTCGTTTTGAGGGCATCCGCTTATTTTCCGTATAAAATACAATCCATGTAAATTGCACAAAATATAGATAGACCGCTGAAAACCGCTTTGAAATTATACGCATAAATTGCAAGAAGGAAAAAAAAAAAAACCAATCCATAATGATTATTCTCCAACTTCTGGATTATGCACAAAGACTACTTTTCTCAATTGCAAATTTGTTTCTTTGCCATCAAAGGGGGCCCAATTAAAGCTCTTAGACAAAGATATTTCGAATTATTTTCATTTTTGGCCCATTTTGTAGTAACCTATGTATCAAAGTGACAAAGGTATTAGATCATCTCCAACAGCTTCCCTAAAATTTTCTCCAAAATGGAGAAACAAAAGTCATATTCTCCAAATTATTTTTACTCCAACTCCAACAGCTTCCCCATTTTGAAAAATCGCATTTATTACAATAATAAAGCTCTCCCCAAAAATTTGGAGAATGCTGCAGATTTGGGGAATGCTCCCTATTTTTTCTCCTCATTCCCTATTTTGGGGAATGAGATGGGGAATCTGTTGGACCAAAAAAAAGCTCTATATTCTCCAAATTTAAGTATTTCAAGAAGATGGGGAAGCTGTTGGAGATGCTCTTAGAAGTCCTGTCTTTAGAGGCAACAACAGCTTCTTACTCAAAAGATGTGAGGGTCTCGTTGGAATTAATGAAGGATAACAAAGTGTTAAATAAAAGAGTTGACGAATGATAATTAAGTTATGCCCAAAAGTATAACTTAGGGTCAATTTCACCAGAGACCCCTAGCTTTGTGGGTGCTGCATTATCTCCCTTAACCCCCCGCGAACTCGAACCTTAATTGTCTCACACCACACGGCCACCTTGCTTGTAACTCACAAACAACCTAAAATATCATCAAGAGAGAAAATTTCAAACTTTGTCGCTTGTCATCCCTCCTCTAAATTTTGGGTCTCTTTCCTCTTAATGTTTTTAAATTATTTGCAAATTACATGCAAGGAGATCCAGCGAGAAAAGTTCAAAGTTCAGGGGAAGTTCTGTGTGACGCTCTGAAATTAAAGGGTGTTATACGAGATAAACGAAATCTACAGGGTTATGCGCAACACCCTAAAGTTCAGGGAGGTTTTGACAAATTAACCATGTAAACTTAGATCGCACCACAAGATAAGATTTCCTTGAATGCCAACGCAGCAAATAGCCTAGCATAGGCTTGAAGAAGGTGGGTGGGAGTGGAAACTACCAATAATAGATAAGGGAGGCGAGAAGAGAGAGAGAGAGAGAGAATGGAAACAAGTTATTAAAAAAAAGAACAATTATTAAGAACAATAAGTTTGCAACCCTTGTGATTTGATTTCGGTTCAACAGTCCACGTGCTCTATGCTTTTATGCCTCCATCTCCTCTCTCTCCTCCTAGAGCAAGTCCAGCAAGCTCCCAGTTGAGAGTCCTAGTCAGCAAGCTCTCAAGAGCTCTCAAGTATTTTGATATAAAAAATTATAAAAATAGGCCTTGGGACCATCTCCTTATTTTATGGAGCTCCAACAAGCTCCTAGTTAGGAGCTCCAACAATATCAAAAAAACCTCTTGTAGGCGTCTAAAAATGCCTATGGGTATCCGCACATAGCTCAAGACAAAGAGAAGGCGATGAACATTATTATCCGAAGCAAAGAGGATCATCCGACATCGACAAGCGCATGAACCGAATCGGCAAACTGTTGATAATACGACAACGAACCACCACAATGGCAAACGCCAAGTGAACCGCACGCGTTAAACAACTCAAAGCGTACAAACGCGCCCAACAGTCAGTTAACACGCACGCATCATTCAGCTCGTGCATGTCAATCAGTTCACGCGTCAATCAGTTCGGGCACGTCGGTCAACACACATGCATCAATCAAACACGCGCGTATATCAACCGACGCGCGTTCTACAGTTAATCCCGCAACGAAGCGTGCAAGTCAACAAGACGATCAAATATGTAAAACGGGGAAAAAAATACAAGTCACGGAAAAACCGGGGTCGGCCAAAAATTTCCTCACTAGGGTCAACATTTTCCTTCCAAAAATTTCGACCATACACAACACTATTGGTTACCATCCAAACTAAATTGAGGGTCTGAATTTTTTTTTTTATTTTAGATAGTGACTTCAATATACGAACAATGTATATATATGGATCTCCATATCTTAGAAAATCTTCCAATCTTCATATATTCCTCTCCGTGTCCATTCATATTCCTATAACAAACAAGATTAAAGAAAGTAAAACAGGCGCTTGCATATTTTATTCCATGTCTAAAATTACTATTTCTTTTTTGTTTTTTGGTCAGATTATTGTATTCTAATTATTGCCTACTCTGTCTCCTTTCGATTTATATGCATGGGCCTTTAAGCAGCCAGACATCAACAAATTAAAGGCCCATATGGCTTCACAAAGAAAAGGCAGGAAAATCAATCACCCATTAAACAAATCCACTTCAGTTGTTGCCTTTATAGGATAAATGAATTGGATTGTAAAATAGTTAAAATTAAGAAAAACCTGAAAAAATGTTTTGAATTTTTTTCTGAGCTCATAGATTATAAGCAGATGGAGAATTACAAATTACCTCTCGTCGGACACGTGTCCCAATTGAATTCCGAAGTTTTTCTTGAATTGAAGAGAGTAGTAGGTTTCTTTACTATCTTTAGAATAGTGTTTTCATGTCTCATTTAAAAAAAAGGGTTTTGCATATAAAACCACAATAAAATAGTGTTTTTTCAGAGAATCACCACAAAAATTATAATTTGATATTCTCATCACATTGTCCAAATAAAACCATATCAAGCTCAATGTCAGATGGACAAATCACAAGTTAAGACTCACAATAAAAGAAACTTCAATGGTTTGGAAATAAAAAATAAAAAAAACTTCCGCAATATACTTCCAGTATTTCATACTCATTTCTCTTAACATGTTACAGATGAAAGATTATATGACGGCATTCATTCTGAAAACTAATTTTTGCATCATAGTAAGTAAAATAAACAAAATTCTTCAGCCACTAGTATGTCAATCTGTGAGCCCACCATAAGAAAAGACAGGTAGATATTTTCTTTCACAAGCACACAAGGATGTTGGATTCCAACACATTCCATTATTAACAAAAATCACTTTGTGAATGAATCTCTCTCTCTCTTCTTCCTCCACCCCCTCTCTTTTCTTCCTAGTAACCGAAAGGGAATTATGAGGTCATCTTATAATTCTACCATGAACGCCTATCTATATGCTTGCAGAGCGACAAGATCAAATCCAACAATTTGTTTTCGTCATAGCAGCATTCGCTTTAGAAAGGCCGAAGGCAACAAAAATAACGCCAGAGATTGTGGTCGCTTGATGAGGATTCGCGAGCATCAGAACAATGGAAGCCTCCGCAATACTCAAAGAAAACTCTCGTTGTTCGTAATGGCGACAGATGAAGAGAACGATAACGATGACGGTGGTGGCGATGGTGGTCGATCATTGAATGATCAACAACCAGAGAAGAAGAGGGGGACTATTGTTGGTGCAGTTTCCTTGATTGTTGGAACCAGCATTGGCTCTGGGATCCTTGCTCTCCCTGACAAAACTTCACCTGCGGTATAAAACTCTCTCTGCCTCGATATACTATGCATCCTTCATTCAGCAATACGTTTACCTTACTTTTCTAACTACAATGTTGCTAACCAAACAAGAGAAATATAAATACGACTGCAACGTTTACTTCTGCAGCTCTATTTTCTATCAACCAAACAGCCCCTTACCTTTCTTCATGCAGAGGCAAGTTTGATATCAAACAGGAATTTGCAACTTGTCGTTTAGCAGAATAATGTTAAACCAAAATGCACGTCATTTATGCAAGTTATGAGTCTGTTTGCATTCAATCAGACGATGATGACCAGAATTTGCAGGGTTTCATTCCCAGTGCAGTAGCCATCACTCTATGTTGGTTAGTCCTCGTGATCGAAGCTCTGCTACTCGTTGAAATCAATGTGCATTTGATGAACAGGTGGGAGAAAGATGAGAAGAAACAACAATATAGCAATGAGACAGAAGTTGTATCATTGAAAACGATGGCACAGGAGACTCTAGGAGAGTGGGGTGGTAACCTAGCAAGTGTCACCTATATTTTCTTAGCCTACGCTTCCATGGTTGCATACATAACAAAGTCTGGTGATGTTCTTTCTCAGCTTATCAATGTTGATAATCCAACTATATCAGGAATCATCTTCACCCTTGCCTTGGCACTTCTCATATCGCTTGGTGGTACTGATACAACTGATCGAGTGAACCGATGGTTGACAGTCTCAATGATAGGTTTGAACTATATTAATTCCTCACATTTCTTTCATATTAAACGCACGAGGATAAATTGAAGATAACCCCTTATATATACCTTCAATACAGTTATCATCCATCAACTATAATTATGCCTTGCATTTATGAAGGATGTAGGGGAAAAGGTTTGTACATAAGAAATGAGTCTAACAAGTATCCGTTGCTATTTTATACTAAATTTTGATTCATCACAACAAACTCAAATAAAATAAATAACACAAACAAAAACTCTGATAGGCATCTAGATACACCATAGCTCTTACTTTAGTTAAACGATCCATCTTCATCTGCACCCCTTAGCTCATCTAAAAAATACATCACTCTGTAGTCAACCTCATCTGAATTACCTGCATTTGAAGAAAGGTGTCAACAATTCTGCGGAAAAAAAGAGAAGAAAAAGTAGTTCGAATAGATAAGTTTCTCAAAGAAGAGTAAATAGGTAACTAAAACTTTCATGCATTGCAATAATGTGAATGACTTTCTAAACAGAAGCTGTACATGCACACAGGTATACTTTTGTTAATTGAGGTCATGGTGCTTTCTTTTGGTGGTTGGTCGGATTCAATGACAATAGCCAATTGGAGAGAGGTTCCACAAACGATTCCAGTGATCATATTCTCACTTGTATACCATGACATCACCCCTGGTAGTTCACAAGCTTTAAATGGTTGAATTTTACTTGAAGAAATGATGCTTAAGGATTTATGGTTAACTTCTATTTTATTCAGTTATTTGTGCATATCTTGGTGGTGATCTTCTGCGAATCAGAATTTCTATATGGTTGGGTAGCCTTGTACCACTCTTATCGTTACTTATTTGGGATGGTATTGCACTTAATCTCTCCCCCAATCTGGATGGGATTGATCCCTTGAACTTTCTTATGAGGTAGCCACAAATATTTAAGGTTGTGTTCATCAATACAATTCATACAAAGCATCAAAATAATAACATACTCTCTTCCGTAACCAGATTTAGTTCAATCAGTAGTATTAGTAAATCAACTTTTGCACGACATAGGATTTCTTGTGTTTCTTTTAATGACATTTTTCCTTTAAACGCACAATGAATATTGTAAAATCAACTTCCTAACATGACATGAGGCTTCTAATGTATCTTAAGATTTTCAATTCTTTGTTCTCTCTCTCTTGGCCAGATTTAAACTTTCCGACTTTTGCTCTCACTCTGAGCAGACTTTTCTTCAAACACCTCAAGGACCTATATGACTACTTCAAAGACTCGGGATGGAATCCTTCTTGTTCATGCTGATTCCTAGGCTAATTTTTTACAAACTTCCGTGGGACTATTGGCAGAAAATTTACCTAAAAACTAACATGAAATACTAATAATATTGGGCATGAACACTGCAACAATATGTAGAGCAATTTGATTCTATCTCTGATGTAGTAGACAGATACCAAATAACAATCTATCCTGATTGTATTCTTTCACCAGTCAGCGAACACATAATTTTACCTGAATAGATTTGATGCAAGTATGTTTAATTCGCTATTACATTGTAAGGTTCGTCTTACAGATGTGATAATGCTTGTCTATCAAAGTAACACTAGTTAAGCACTCATTTTGATACTTTTCCCCTGTATAATACCAGCATAAGTTTGAATTCTTCATAAATTTTTATTGTAATGGTAAAACATGTTATGACAAGTAGCCAATAATAATATCGACCTTTAAGTATAATAGCATGTACTTTACATCAATATCTCATGTCTCAAATAGAAACTTTACTGAGGGAAGATCTAACTGATGTTCTAGCAGAAGATGGAGCGATATGTTTCCGATTGTAGATGTGTTCTCACTTTTAGCAGTGGGGACATCCTTAATTGGAACACTCTTGGGATTTTCTCAGTTCTTTAAGGAGCAACTGGCCAACTACTTTCATTCTCTTCCCTCAAAAACCGTAAGTAGTTTGTAATTTGATCACTGAGCTAGATTCTCTTAAATATCAATGGTCTATTTATCTATTATTACTATATCCTAAAATAACTGTAGTTGCTGAAATGCGACAAGTGGTAGCCGTTTAGGTTTTACTTTTTTGGAAATAATACTCGTCTTTAGTATTGTTAAATTGTCTTTTCAGCTTCCCTATGTCATTCATCATTATCTCTGCATCAATACCATCAAAATTCAATCCTCTAATTCTCGTTTATAATAACAATAGTAGTTTTCGTAACTATTTGTTGTAAGGTAAATGTATGGTACCAAACCTTTAGTTTAAAATCCTTATAGGGACCTTGCCTTTCATAGCTTTTTGCACTCTCCATGTTGTCTTATAAACTATGTCATTCTTGATCCTAGTATGAATAGTATTGATGATTTTTATCAGGGAAAGTTGAAAGGAGAATTTATGGATGATCAAGTTCAGATCAAACAGGAAAATGGAAGAAGTTGGTTGGAAGGCAAAACACTTGCTATTTTGGCAACATCAATGGCAGTTTTTCCATCAATGTTCATCTCAGAAATTACTCCAGATGCATTTTCGGTAGCAACTGATGTTGCTGTAAGTAAAATCAAGAAATTGCACCAAACTATGAACTTAGTGAAAGGCTCCTAATTTTGTGATTTGGTAAAGTTCATAACGCTGATTTTGATTTTCACTTACATGTATAATCTTGTTCAGTCATCAACCTTGAACCAATACCCACAAGCTCTGGAGTCAAGAGACTCAGAAAATATATTTCATCATCTTACAATTCTATATCAATCTAAGGATTAATAACCTAACAGTATATAAGTTTAATTAACTTTCATAATTGAGCTATGTAAGTAACCAATACATGTCAGATACAAGCAATTACTCTCTATACAACATAGTCATGGAGTTACCTAATGACCAAAGGGTTGTATTTTGATCAACAACAGAATTTTTGGTAGTAATAAACCATACTTCTATTGTTTGTCAATTGTCAATAATCCAAGCTAAAGCTAAAATCCAATATGATTATATTTTCAAGTCTTGTTTTAATTGAGGTTGATGTATAAATTAAAAGTGTATTCTTGTCATATCTTTCAGGGTGGTTATTGTATGACAATACTGTATGGAGTGCTTCCACCTGCAATGGCTTGGGCTATGCAAACTACAGTTGCTGAGAGCAACAAAGCTAAAGTTATACAAGTGAACGTGGATCGTACTGCTTTATGTAATGTTAAGCCTATTCTAATTGTGGCAGGACTTCTCTCTTGTGGGATTGTAATGGAACAAGTGGTTCTGGATCTCGTTCTCATCCTTCAATGAGCTTCTTTAGAACATCAAAAAAAATGCAAAGCTAAGCTTAAATATTTATAATAGTTTGTCCTCATTTACATTAGTATGTTTTTTTTTTCAATTTTTGGTAGACTCCTTCAAACTTCAGTTTTCAAGGAGCAAGCCGAGAGGAAGAGAAAATTGCAACAGGATATCATTTCCATTTGTCATCATTGATGCAATTAATGAAGGATGTTTAACAAGGGAAGTGATCTAATTTTTTATATTTATCAAATACATATATATTTTCCTTTGACAAAGTCATAGGGAACTCCTCACCTTGTATCTGGCGATCGCAACTGAAGGAGGTCAATTTTGTTTTAGTATGAGAAGTCTGTCAAAAACCGGTCTACTACATCAGCTGACCGAACGACGTTGTGCTCAATAACGTTGGTATGAGATTTTTGCAGCTAATTCTACTAAACAAGCAATGGAGTAGTTGTAAGGTCGATCATGGTTGTCATGTAATAGCCACTACCCAAATATACTACGTTTGTGCATCAAAGGATTAACTTCACTTAGAACCTAAAGCACCCAGATAGTGTATGGCCGACATTATTTTATCCTTTCCTCCTGAGCATACTGGGAATTACACTTTTCTCTGGTTGAGATAAATGATTCTCTCATATTTTAATTTTCTGATTCTTCAAAGCTTTGGAGAAGGTTGAAAGTTTGGACCCAAGAGGTAAGTTATTGAGCTGAGTCTGACCTGCACCTAAAACTCTATATAACCGCTCCTTGGAACCAAGCCTAAGGTTTTCTTATCATTCTTGGACAGCAACAGGAAGCCATAGGGTATCCTTTTTTATTTGGATCTATGGGAACCAAATCTGGCAATATTTTACTTTGATTCGATGATCAATCAATACCAAAGCATTTGCTTACAAACAGAATGGTGAATTCATACCAGAGCTTGACCATACAAGTAGATGGTATTAGACTTTGACATAAGAAAAGAAAGGGAAGGGCTCAAACGCGAACAAAATGAAGATTTAAACATATACCTTATCTATTCATCTTAATCTATAACTTCTAAAATATCTATGAACATTGTAGCTATCCATTTCACGGCTTCCAAAATCAACAGTTTCACTATCAAGTTGCCTACAAATTGACATACATAAATTGTAAGCATTTGAATGCAGTGATTGCCCTTGTTATTCTGAAACGAATAATATATGGTATCTTATTAAAATTTAGCATGTTCATATAAAATCAAGACATGAATTGGACTTTGGATTTAGGATTTTAGGATTTTAATAATCATGACCAAATCAAATATGAATAAGTGAATCATTGAGTATAATAAAGCAAATTACAGTTATCTATCTATGACCCTAAAATATTATATTCATAGAGATTTCTGCAGAACTGAAACGAAAAATAAATTCAGGTGTAATCTGCTATTTCATTAATTATACCAGTTTTTCTGCAAAACCAAAAAAATCGGGTCTAAATTTTTATTTTAAAAATTACACAAATGTTTCCATCTCCTAGATCTAGCTGCTATTTGCCAACACTGATCACTTCACGCTTGAATCGTTTCTCATGAAAAATCATTTGCTTCCTGTCGAAAAGCGATGATGTGCTACAAATCATCTTGTTCCACACTACGTGGTCTATGGACCAATAAGTCTAAAACTCACATACGAGGAGAATTAGTAAAAGCAAAAAAAGTTTGTTTGGAGCATCTTCTTCGATTGCATCCATTCACACACAAAGTGTCTCAATTTTCCATAGTTGTGGCATGTCATTTTGGCATTTTCCTTCTTTCTTGCTCTTTTCATGAGCCTAGCCTTCTTCTAAGACTTAGGATCATCGCTAACTAAGAGGGACTCATCATACATAACACATTGTGTTTTGCAATAGGCTTGCGTGGTAGTCATGCTACAGCCTACACGATGAAGTAAGCCTTCAGCTTCCTCCAGGATCCCACTTTGTTCCTCAAGATAGGGTTTTTCAAAATCTGAAAATGTCTATGCAGGAGTATCTTCTTGAGATTCTCCCACTTTGTAATTTTTGGCAATGAGCTCAAGACAGTCTGGATTTCCAGTTCTCGAATTTTGTATAGGTGGGTCTCACATTATAATTGGGAGAAATATTTCCATCTCCTTGATCCAGTTGGCATTTGTTGATACCTACCACTTTCATGTTTGAATAATTTTCTACAGAGTATAGTTTGCTTCCAATTGAAATGCAAACGATGCTTCACAAATTCATCATTATTCAAGCTATGTGCTCTGTAGAACCTGAGTCTACAACCCACAACTAAGTGAGGCGGTTCAATCTGAAAGACCAATGATGAAGAAATCTAGGTTTTCCTGAGCTTTCTGCTAAAAACTGCAAAATAGGAGAACATCAGGAGGATACTCAAGCACAAGGAGAATACACTTCCACAATGAGACATTTTCTAACCTCGTAAAACACCTCATTCTTGAGGAAAAAAGCGTGATTCTTATATGGAGGGAGCTCAAAGCTCAGCTCACCACACGCAAGTTGCACTGAGACCACCACACAAGCCAGTGGCTAAGTGCAAGTTGTCATGCATGAAGCATCACCATAGGGACGATTCTAGAAGATCAGGCGTGGGAAAATGGCAAGAAAGAAAGAAAAATCCAAAATGGGATGTCACAACTAAGGAAAGTTGTAATACTTGCATGTGAATGCACGTTACCGAAAAAGGTACTCACTCCACCCAAGTTTGCAGTGAGTCTTTTTCGGCTTTTACTAATACTTCTCATTTGTGGGTTTTAGACTCAAGATCCATAGACCATGTGGCTTCGAACAATGATGAATTTGTGGAGTATCGTCGCATTTCGACACAAAGAAACTCTTCATGGGAAATTATGCAAGCGTGGAAGTAGTCGATATTGGCAAATATCAGCTGGATCTTGGAGACGGAAAAAATTTCCCAATTTTCCAGATTTTATTAGACTTTTTCTAAAATTTCCCTCCTTTTTTTAACATACATAGATTGCTTTAAGTGGGACTTAAACCTAGTTATAGAGACATACAGTCATGTAGAGTGTTTATCCATTTTTCTCTGCACGCCTGTGCCCCAAGCTTCCAAAATGGTTGTTTTCCAGGTTTTGAGATATTTTAGATTTTCTAATACTTCATTAACATGATTTCAGCTTAAAACCTCCAACAAGGCCCTATCTCCTTTGCCTGCCTGTACTCTACAAATTTAAGAAGTCCCATATCCTTCGCATGAAAATAGTATTAGCATATCAGATGCTACGATTTCAATCTTGAATTGCGTAATCCACTTCTAAGTTCATGCAACTGCTTAATCTTTATTTTCTTTCTGTTTCTTGTCGGGAAACCTGGTTAGTTAATGATGAGTTTTTTTGTAAGCTTAGTTATGGTCAAGCTTCATCTTTGAGATTTTAGTACATTCTAGTAAGCATCCTCCTATAAGTGAACATAATCTACACATAATTGATACTTCAACTGTAATAATAAGAGGAAAAAGGTCACGCCACTCAAAAGGAGAGGAAGATTACAATGAGTTTGACACTAGACGCTTTTCAGAGACTGGGACAGTGACACATTTCCCAAGACAGATAAAATTTCCACATAACGAATTTCCGGAACAGCTTTGTTATGGTCAAGCTTCATCTTCAGATCTTAGTACATCCTAGTAAGCATCCTCATATAAGTGGACATAATCATGGACATAATCACACATACTTCAACTGTGATAATACGAGGAAGAAGATACCAATACTCAAAAGGAAAGGAAGATTAGACCAAGTTTGACACTAGATGCTTTTCAAAGATATGGAGAAACGCCACATTTCTCAAGACAGCTAAAGATTTCATATAACTAATGGCAAGCAGAAACTAATATATAATATGTATGTTTATATATATATATATATAGCAACTGCAGCATGGATACAAGCAAAGGATAAATCACAATATGATGGGGCTATGTTTAGGTAACTCACAGTAGATGGCGGGATGGCTCCCTGGTTCTGCGGGTATCCAAAATCCTTGAACAAACCCTGCAATAAATTGGGAAATTACCAACTGGAACTGTACAGTGAGCAAATCTATACTGGTTTAATTAGCAAGTTTGTTGTTGCAATCTATTTGCTTCATCATCACAACTTATGTAAGAAATGAGTAATGAGTGAAATCATTATAGCCCTACATATGATAGCACATCAAAGGATTTGATAATTAAAAAGGTGGCAAACTGTGACAAAAACTGCCAGATTCCAAGAGATATCGACCAATTGTAACAAGCTCAAATTTTTTGTAATAACAGTTGCTGCACAGATTCGTAGTAATCTAAGCCCCTAGAAAACGTTTGAATGATCATCGACCAATTGCATCAAGCTCAAATTTTTGTGATAGCAGTTGTCGTGCATATTCTTAGTCATCGAAACACCTAAAAGGTTTGAAGGATCATCCAAAACCTTGGTCTTTGACAGTAAACAGAGAGTAAGGGAAAGGAAATCATAGAAAATTGGAGAAAATAGGCAAATCCGAAATTGAAGGGGTAAAAGAAGTGAAGAAAAACAAGGAAAGAATAACATATGAAGTAGGATAATCCGGCAATGTAAAGCTTCAAAAGTTGACTTTTAATAATAATACAAAGAATGACAACAGGTTTTATAATATCATGGACATTGTTCACCTTGTTCCCATTAGTTAAACTGAAGATAAACATTCAACTGGACAATAACAAAATATAAGCCTTACCAAACTCTTCACTTGTGTAAGCCCTAGAGTTTATCGAATGTCAAAACTATTAATTTTATGGGTTTTTGGTGCTTTTCAGGAGGGGTTGATTGCACAAAGACCCATGTACTATAGCGCCGTGCCACTTATCACCGTTTAAGTTTGATATTGCTAGATAGACCCCTAGAACCAAACGCCATTAGAGATTTGTGGCAGATAAACCCCCTATACAATTGCACTACACCCCCTCCCTTCCTCAGCGTCCACTTCATCTCCACAACAAAGCTCAGCAGAAACAACACACCACCCAATGGAAAGAATGCATGGAGAAGAACTGAGGTGTTAAGTTCTGCTCTGGAGGGGTCTGCCAAAATCAAACTTTAATAAGTGGCACAGCGCAATAGTAAGGAATCTATGTACAATGAATCCTTTCAGTAACTAAGCTTTTGAGCTTCAGTTTAATCATCTAGCATTTCAATGTCGAATGGGAAATCAACTCCAGCCTTCCATTATTAAGGATGAAAATTTACCGCCCACACATTGTTACTAACCTTTGCATCATTAACTGCATAGGCTACACAATAGTGTTCCTGGAGGGAAGAAAAGTTAGGTAGTCAATAAAAGAAGAAGAAAATTGATTATGTTTTAAGTCAAGATAAATTAAGATAAATTCATGAAAATATGGTAGTACAGGGTAAACTAAGTGCTTGCCTGCATCATGTACCACTCTTCAAATTCATCAAATAACTCAAGTTGTTCGATCCTATACCAGCAAAGAGAGTACGAGGAAAACTAAAACAGTGAGCCTCAGGAAACAAAATAAGGTAGCCTCTAAAAAACCATTATTACAAAACTGCAACTGCTACATAAGGTACAGGCTACAAAGGTAGTAAGAAAGTTCTTAAGTAATGGGGAATAATAGAATGTAAGCATCAAGCACGTACAAGCATGTATAATGTAGTGAAGGAAAAGGTCATGCTATTTCATGGTATGTATAATGTAGTGAAGGAAAAGGTCATGCTATTTCATGGTTTTCAATTTTCCATGAACTGTTAGTGTTAGTTAAATCCCAATAACATGTGGACTCAATAGTCTGCAAACTATAATGAATTAAGGTTTATATCTGTACAATAGGAATAAGAGATGGTTCTCAGCAACGTAGAATGAAATCAGGTGCTTATGTGAAAGAAAATTTTTGGTGTTTAATAGCACAGCTAGGAGGATATTCCAGAAACATAGGTAATATAGTAATACAGGCTGCAGCCTGATGGCAGAGTTTCTGCAAGCTTATCCACCATATAATAATCTTGACTCATGTTTATTTTCTGCAGCAGTTCTGTACTTATGATTAGGGTGACTCACAAATATAACGAATGTACAACTTTTCAGGACAAAAGCAAGAAATAAGTTTATAAGAAAAAACACTTTCAAACTATTTAAACCTAAGTTTTACTGTTTCATGTAAGAATGTTGCTCCAAATGTATCTGACCTTGCCATGATGTGCCTCATTATCCTAGCTAATACAACACAAATTTCACTCTGTTTTTATAGCTGTCCACAAGAATCAGGTGATTATTACCTGCGTCTTTCTTGAGCTTCAATGAACTCGTTATATATCCTCATCATATCCCAAGCAACAGATCTCTGAAAGGCAAAAGTTCAATTTAAAATTATAGGAAGGAGGAGATTTGACATAATTATAGGCATCGTGGTCCACATTCTCTAAAATTTTGGATATAATTGAAAAAGTCAGCAGAATACTCCGCTAGAGCCTTCTCTCAAAACCATACTTTTTGTCAGGGAAGCATTTCTTGTGAGGGTATAATAACCAAAGAAACAAACCTGCCACCCCTGCTCAAGAAAGAGTTTCTCTTTATCCAGTAAGGTTGGGGTAGCGTGTATTCCTAAGAGTGGACATCCTCTGCTCTGCAAATAAATCAGGTAAAGGATTTTTCATATCAACCAATTAATCTGACAAAAGTCATGTTTGAAATTTTCTCAACATACTTTGAATTCATAAAAAAATATGCAGAAAACTTTTCTGACACAAAGCCATGTGGTGGCAGTTGCCAGTATGAAAGGCGAAGAGAGACGAGATGTCTCTCTTACTGGCAGACTTTGAGTCAGGTTAAAAAATAGCAAACCTGATATAAATTATATCTCTTTCTTACAGCTCTAAATTAAATGGATTTTGGATCAAACATAAACTTGCTTATATTAGCCTTTTCAAATAAGTTCATTGCTACCAAAACTCTAAAAGCTAGTATAGAGAAAACTTAGTCTTTGGAAGTCATGGATTGCAACTCTTAAAACATTTCCACTTAAGCAACAGATGAAAAAGTTTGTTTGTTCCTTCAAAGCCATTCATCACATACTCAGAAGAAATTTTGTACAGAATATTAGAAAAGGTAAAGTGTTTCCCATGTGTAAAATTTACCTTCTGCAAGAACAAGAATTTTGACTTTAATAACAAAGCTTCTATACCAAAACCTGAAAATATTCTTTTAGGTACCGTTTGGCAAAGGGTTAAGTGAGGGGTTAAGGAGACTTAACCTCTTCTTAACCCGCCAAACATAAAAAATCTATGCAAGGGTTAAAGTGAGTTAACCCTCCATAATTTGCCAAACATAAAAAATATAGAAGGGTTAAGCTAACCCCTCTAGAGGGATTAAAATGAGTTAACCCCTCAAAATGAGGGGTTTACTAATACTCCTATTTCAAAGGATTAAGAGTTAACCCTTCTAATTATAAAGAAAATAGTCAAAATCATTGTTATTCCCAAACACTAAAACTAATCATACAGGCTAAAATAAAACTTATTTAACGGGTTAATAATTTAGTCCTTCAGATTATCGAATGGGCTAAGTACATTAATCATTCTCTTTAACCCCTCTTCCTTAACCCTTTGCCAAACGAGGCCTTATTGTATATGTCTAGTTTTTACCAGTACAGTTTAAAAAAATATCTAAAAGATGGAAAACACAAAGAATGAACTTCAACATAGTTTTAATCTTTATTTTTAAGCTTCCAAGTTTCTTAGAACTAGATGATTAACAGGCATTGAAATCTAAACCTGAACTCAAGGTGGAAATTGCAAAATCACATGTCTAGTTTTACTTCTGTTGTTCTGTTTAATAAAACTTTCTGAAAGAGAAACACACAAAAATGAGTGTCCTTATGCTTCTTATTAATCTTTATGTTTGATGTTTTTAAGTTTCTTTTAACAAGACGCTTAACAAATGTTGAGATCTAAACCGAAGCTCAAGGTTGGAACTGCCAGAACCGCCTAACGAACCAAAAATATAAGAGAATATACTCTTTTGTTTTCACGTCTTTAAGCTGGCATGATAACAAATATGGATAAACTTAATATCACCTGATTCTGGGCAGTAACAGATGTTTCGCCATTCACATGCTATAAAGGAGGAACATACCCCACAGATAAAGTATTAACATAATACAAAGATGAAACTATACTGTCTTGCTTTATTACAACCATCATTTCTCTACAGCTTTCATAGCATGATAACTGAACTAACCTACTTGGACTCAGGGCCAAGATTTTGTAGCATCATTACAGCCAGGACACTAATGTTGTTACCTGTTCCTCATTTGCAGGGTTAAATGGCCCAAAGAGACCTTTAACACTCAGGAAAGAATTGTGAATTAGACCATTTTTATTTGCTAACGATGGAAAAGATAACTAAGAACTAAGAACATGTTTCATCGCATGTCTCCGCTAACATTTTCTGCGGTAGTCTACTGTGACCTACAAATGACTAATATGGTAAAATCGATAGCATTTTGTTATGATATGAACTTCTGGAATATGTTACAAATCATATGTCAACTAAGAGATTAGATGACTTGACTGTCCACTGAAGAGAAACTTGAATTCTTATCCTCCCTATTGCCATATTCTCCATTTTCTAATGGTTTTGATTTATAAATGCTCAAACTTAGTATGATTATTGTTTTGGGTCTTTTGCTAAATATATATTAAGGCTTTTGACTGCCTGAACCTAAGTTTTATCAGCTCTGACTAACTTTTATGCTTCTTGTGGTTATGCGACAATATTTTCATACTTCCCTACAGCAAAACTTGCTGGCAATTGCCAATAGACTTTATCAAACAAGCGGAACATAAACAGCATCTTTTTAGTTACATGTTTAAACTAGAACGACAATTGCAGATATCTGTATCTACCAATTGTCCTTTCGTGTTTACAGCAAGGTACTTTCTGCATGTTATTGCCCTAGCTGGGAAGTTCTAAAGGTCTGACAGCATGTTGAAACCCCAGTCACTAGGATCCAATTGACTCCTTAATTTAAGGTTGTCAACCAAAGTGATCCTGATTTCAATAGGCTCTTTTTTCTGTGAACAATATCATGCGCATTGCCTATTAGAACAACATGATCCTGATCATGTGAAGTAGAAGCAGTAAAATTTTCTTGCTAACTTTTGAAATACATTTTAACATCAGAAGCAATAAGGGACTACCTCAAGATCAGTAAAGTTTGCAAAGAAATTATTTTCACAAGGAAACAGAATGCCTTTCAGTAAAACAGGCAAAGAAGGAACACCTTCAAGCATCATCGGTTAATTGATAACTTTTTCAGGTCCGTAGGTAGCAGTTGATATTGTTCTATACAAATTTCAAAAATATATCTATATTACCTCCAGATTTCTCATCATCTGTTCTCCAAATGCATCATAAGGATGGATCTGCGAAGCAGACAAATGTACATATATATGGTGAATGATCTGCAAAGAAGATGGCCAACTAAAAGAAAGCATCGTAACTAAATATAAAATAACCTGTTCATATAAGAAAAACACTGATGTTGGGAATGTTTTTGAAGCCCATCCAACAACGGTGCGGGTAGAATCAGGGTCCAGGTATATCAACACACACTCTGCAATTATAAATGTTGGCAGACTGATGATAACATCAGATGGAGCAGTTAATTTTCTCCAATGTTAATGTTAAGCACTTCGATCTAAACAAAAAGAACAAGAGTTTTCAAAGAGTTTCTTACAAACATAATTTATTACTGAATGCTAAGACAATATTTGCTGTTCAAGAAATATATGCTTGAAATAAAAATGACATTGAAAGTCAAGCTGAACAAAAAATGTTCACAGAGCAGAAGCAACAACTATTTAAGAAATAAGGAAACACACAGGAGAAACATCCAAGGAAAAGAAATAAAAATTGTAACCATTTCTAGCTGGACAAAAAATGTTCACATAGCAGGAGGCAGGAGCAGAAACTACTTAGAAAGAAGGGAAACAGACAGGAGAAACATCCTGAAAAGGAAATAACTGTTATCATTGTACCCTTTTATTTTCCGTATTCAAGCAGAACTTACAATCCTTTTTAGTTAGCTTACCATCCATTTTCGAAGTGTTCAACATACAGTCCCTATTTGAGGGAAGGACTGGGTCCATTTTATAGCTTATTTGATTTGCCGGGATACTCTCTTTCATGACAGACATAATTTAGTAACACCTGCTCTAAACACTATCTCAAGAAAGCCCGACTGGGAACGGAACTAAGAGTTTTTACATGTAATAGGGAATAACAAACCCACCAACTTGCGTCATCAGAGATAAGAAGCAAATCAAGATTTAAGCTTTCTATATATATATAAATACATACATACATACATACATACATACATACACACACACATATATATACATACATAGATATAGGAAATAATGGGTATAAGGTGGCGGCTTTTTTTGCTAAATGAGCTACCCAGAGATAGTCACATGGTGAACTGGTGATACCATATATATATAGAGAGAGAAACGCTTCTATAAACTTAAGTGGACTGCGAGCTCAGTCCACCAAGTTTATAGAATAAGGCTTCTATAAAGTTAGTGGACTGAGGGTTTAGTCCACAATGTTTTTTAGACATTGGATTCGTTTAATCGACCAAGATCTCATTAGATGATGTGTCATCTATTTAATGAGGGAAGGGTAACTTAGAGAAAAAATAACCGGAAAAAAGAAAATTATATTTTGCAGAAAAGAAATCGCTGAAAAGGAATTGTCTCCTCATCTTCTTCTGTATTGCATATCTTTCTTTATCCACCCATTGTGCGTCCACTCCATTCCCTTGTGCGTCTCTCTCTCCCACATTAGGATTAAGTTAAATTATCTACATAAATTAGAGAAAGGGTCTTGGGTAATCATGGATTTCTTTTTCTATTATTTGGATGAATTATCTTCCGGTTCACAATTACTCAAGTCCAAGTTGTTATTAGATGATTATTAGATCAAACAGGAAGGCAAAGAACACAAGGCAAGAATCTCGTTAGCAAACAGGAAGCATTTTGATTACATTTTGCTTGGTTAAAGAGAGCAACTAACGACAAATCCACCATAATACAAATTTCAAGTGAGACTTATCATCACAAGAAAAAACACCCCCTTGCTCCTCTCAAGCAAAACCAAAGCTGACCTAAAATTCAACTACGTTTTCGTTTTATTTAATGTGAAATGAGGGAAAACTGTGTCCGAGTCGGAAGCTAACAGCTGGAGGAGCTGTGAAGGCGTGAACCCAAAATTTTCCCTTTGATATCTCTGCGATTCCTATCAGCTAGAGATTGATTTTATTTATTTATTTCCAACTGTTTTTTTAATTTCCTAAACTACCCTTAATTTAATAAATGAAAGATGACCATTGGATTAAGATCTCGATAAATTGAATGAATCCAATGTCTAAAAAAACTTGGTGGATTGAGCCTCAAGTCCACTTAAGTTTACAAAAATCTCTCATCTCTACTCTCTCTCTCTCTCTCTCCTCCTCTCTCTTCTCTCTCTCCTCTCTCTCTCTCTCTCTCTTTCATATGCTATATATATATATATATTATATATATACTATATATATATATATAATATATATATATATATATACACACACACACACACACATTTTCGTACAAGGAAAACGTGCGTCCTGATAGCTGAGATAGCTTATTTTAATCTACTCATTTGAATGGTCCCCATTTGAAAATGGTCTGTTCCTTGAAAATGAGTGGATTAGAATGAACTACCTCACTACTAAGGAGTAAAATAGTTCCTTGGTACCTAGGATACCCATCTTCCTCATATATATGTATCTGTGTGTGTGTGTGCATGTTGTGTGTGTGTATACGTGCATGAGTGTGTGCGTGCGTGTCACATTCTGGACTATGTGATTCATAATTAGATAAATCATGGAGCTCAGTAAAGGCTGAAAAAATCCTCGATTGTTTTTATAACATAGGTTTCAGCTCATTAAAGAATTGCATTCTGCAGTGATAGTGAAGAAATACTTCATCACAAACCTGGGATCCAACTTTGCAAGCCTCAAGATAGTATCTAACTGCTCAACATCACGTAAATCAACAGGAAGCAGCTTATAATGATCGCTCAAGACTTCACCTCTTTCTGAAGAGGAAAAAAGGGCCCAGCACAAGAATGTTAGAGAACAGAATAAGGAAATGAGAACATCTTAACTCACACAGATAATTAATAAACTGAATACTAAGAATGACAACATTGTACACTACTCTTGGCCTTCTCTGAGAAGATGTCTGTGAGCATTGAGCATGTATTTGCATGTGTATATGCGCATGTGCATATGTGTGTGTACGCGCTTGCAGGTGTGTGGGTGTGTGTGGGTGTCTGTTTGTGCGTGTGAGAGCATATTGCATTTGACAAGTTGCTGAAGATTCAGTAACACTGATATCTTCATTACAAAACACTAACATTTCACAATTTGCAGTCCGTGAACCACACCATTAATCCTGGGAGTCCTACATTTCTGGTAACAATGGTTAAAGCAGCCTACATGTGTTTGTTATGAGAGATTTAGACTTGAAGTCAATATACTTGCTATGATCTTTTATAAAGAGTACGATAGTCAAATATGGGCTTCAAGACCAAATGGAAGGGCCTAAAATTATCTATGTTCCACAACAGTAATCCAACCAAATACATCTTAGTCTTAGCAAAATCACATGCAACTGGTCAGGGTTATTTCCAGCAACAAATGTTCCCACCAGCCACCCAACTTCACGTGCATCCTGCAGATCCATCTGCCAGCAAGCAACTAACATGTATACCATGACTAAACACATAAATACATTAATGAGAGTACGGTTACTGGGAGCAGTCACTCTGATTAATTCACAGCCAACATTGTGATTGATCTCGGATTGTGGGAGCAGTTTGTAACTAAGTTGTTCATTCCAAATCTCAATCACTAAGGCTTGATTTGGTAGAGGGTGGAGTGTAGGGGCGTGAGGGACGAAAGAAGGAATTGCCTTTGGTTGGAGGGTTTTGGAGAGGAGGGAAGAGTGGAGTGGAGTAAGGGGCAGTGGAATTATCATACTGTCAATTTAAACAATTCCCTAAAGTTGGAAAGAAACATGAGAGAGAAAAGAAGCCTAAAAAGTCAAGTACCTCCAACCAAGCAAGAAGCCTAAAAGGAATTCCCTTATCTCCACCCCATAGCACTCCACTCCTCATTCCCTTCTTCCCTCATCAACACCCCACCAATATGAAGCCTAAAGAATGAACTAAATCCAGTACCTCAAAAAAACACTTTAGATGGGGCCTATATAGAGTTTCTGACGGAATTTTTTTTACTTGACTTTTGGTTTTGCTTAGGTGACGAGGTGCATGCTACATTTCCAACATGTTGTGCATGCAATGGTTAAAAAAAAGAATTATAACTGTGGGACTTGGAAGCTGATAACTGCTATCATTAATTTCTCTCTAGAAATATGTCAGTGGTTGTTGAAAAACTCTCTTTTTGATTACCATAAACATATGAAATCAAACAAGCTGTAAGTTACCTCCAAAACAAAATGTTTGTCTAGCTTTACAAACGAAAAAATCAAGAAAATTGACAATAGCGATCAGGAACCCTAATTTAGGCTACTACTTACCACTAACTATGAAGCACGGACACGGACACGGTGACACGGACACAGATACGGCAAAACCCCAAAAAATAGGATACGGCGACACGGCTATATTTTTTAATTTTCACTACTTTCATCTTGAGCATATAAAAATACAAGAGAATAAAGTTCAAGTTGCAACTAGTTCAATGACTACAAAATACTAAGTTACTAACATTGCAAAAATATAAAAATTACACTCAAAAGCATATCTTAAAATAAAGTTTTCAAGTTGAAACATCAAAAAGATTATTCTATGGATTCAACTCTTTCATCCTCATCAAACACGATGGCCTCCATCTAAGAAGCACTGACTCGTGAAAACTCCCCCCGTCCCCGTGTCCGACGCTTGTCGGGGACGGACGCGCGTTCGACACGACGTCAACGGCGTCGACACGGTCAGCTCAAGTCGACACGGCGAAGTTGAGGGCGACACGGCAAACTTGAGGGCGACACGGCGAAACCAGAATTTGAAACTCAAACCCGAAACCCAATTTCAAACAGAAACCCAAACCCTAACCCTAGTCGTGAGAAAACTTACCCGATTTCTCGTCGAAAGGGCTCTTGCGAAGTGAAGAGGCGCCGCCAGCTCTCAGCTCTCAGCTCTCGGTCTCCTCCTCCTCCTCCTCCTCCTCGTCGTCAGCTTCGTCATTGTCCGTCAGCTTCGTCATCGTCGATCATCCAAGGTCAGCCCCTCTCTCTCTCCCCCCGATCGATCTCTCGCTCTCTCTCATCCCTTCCCCTCTCTGTTTCTCTCTTTCTCTCTCTCTCTTATCTCTTTCTCTCCCTCATTTATCTCTTTCACGCTCTCACCACAAAAAAACCCCAGCAACTTTTTCGACTCACAAAAAACCCCCCACGAACTCTACAATCACCCCACAATCCATTGTTCTCTCTCTCTCTCAAAAATCGCACCCAACTTTCAAAGCACCTCTGCCCCCCACTACGATGGTTATATATTTTAAAAAAGTTGATTAATGTTTGCTTTTAAAATAGGTGATTACTGTTTGCTTTTAAAATAGTTGATTACTGTTTGCTTTTAAAATAGTTGATTACTGTTTGCTACTTAGTCATTAGTTGATTACTGTTTGCTACTTTGTCATTCAATGTTCCCTCTTCTTACTGTTGAATGCCTTACTGTTTGGAGCTGCTTGGGTTGGTCTTCTCCTTGCTCACTGTTGATTGCTGGTTGGGTTAGCTCCTAATTTTTATTTGCTGTTTTGCTACTGTTGATTAATTATTCTTTTTTTTACTGTTTTGCTGCTGCTAGATAATTTTTTAATGTTAACTGTTATTTGCTTACTGTTCTACTATTGTATGCTAATTTAAAAGTTAATTACGATTGTTTAACTGTTGTTTGCTTACTGTTCTACTATTGTATGCTAATTTAAATGTTAATTAGGATATTGTTTATTGTTCTATTGTTGTTTGCTTTTAGTTACTGCTTTACTATTATTAATTTTTTAATTTATTGTTATTGCTTATATTTTACAGAAATGGAATAAGACGGGAGTTCTAGTGGTAGTGGAATACAAGATGACAAATGTCCGCTTTGAAAATATGTTACCAAATTGAAGAAAAGGGGGGAACGGCAGGAGAAAATTGAAGATGGAGATGTAATTATTGCAGAGAGGATTTTACCGGTTCACACTCAAGAGTTAAAAATCACCTCTTGAGGATAAGTGGGACTGGAATTAAGATGTGTTCTAAGTCAACACCCAAAAATTTAAGGGAGTTTCAAAGGACGTTGGATCAAGCAGAGGCGAGGTTGATGGCTTCTAGGCCTAAGATGTCAGTTTTGCCTACATCTTCGACTGCAAGTACGGCCGGTGTAGGTGCAAGTGCAAGCATGCCGATTGATGCAGGTGGATTTAAGAGGAGGGGGCCTAATACCGTGGAACAAGCATTCAACATGGGAGCAAGGGAGGAATTGGATGCATTGATTGGTAAGGATGTTCTTCACCGGGGGATTGTCCTTCAACTTGACAAAGAATCCATATTATGCCAAAGCTTTTGCATATGCCGCAAACAATCCAATTTCTGGCTACAAGCCTCCTGGTTACAATTCCATGAGGACCACTATCTTACAACGTGAGAAAACTCACGTAGAGAGATTGATGGAGCCCATCAGGGACACATGACAACAGAAGGGAGTCTCCATTTATAGTGATGAGTGGGCGGATGCACAAAGGAGGCCCATCATCAATTTTATGGCGGTATGTGAGGGTAAGCCAATGTTCTTGAATGCCGTGAATGTCGAGGGAGAAGTCAAGAATAAGTATTTTATCCAAACACAGCTAGAAAAGTGCATCACAGAGGTGAGACCAAAAAATATCATCCAAATCATAATCGATAATGCTTCGGCATGCAAGGCCGCGCGAGGGCTTGTGGAGCAAACTTGGCCTCACATATTTTGGACTCTTTGTGTAGTCCATACACTTAATCTTGCTGTCAAGAATATTTGTCCGGCTAAGAATACGGAAGCAAATGTCGTGGATTATGCACAATTACATTGGATTACAGAGATCTCCGATGATGCATTGTTTATGAAGAATTTTATCATGAACCACTCTATGCGGCTTTCCATATTCAATGATTTTTTCAAGATGAAGCTCCTATCAATTGCCGACATAAGATTTGCCTCGTGGATTATTATGTTGAAGAGGTTTAAGGTCGTCAAGAGAGGCCTCCAAGACATGGTCCTTAGTGATCGATGGAGCTTATATAGAGACGATGATGTGGAGAAAGCTCAATTTGTGAAAGAAAAAATCCTCGATGATTTGTGGTGAGACAAGATAGATTTTATTCTTGACTTCACCGGCTCAATCTATGAAATGATAAGGGTCACCGACACCGATACATCATGTCTTCATTTGGTGTATGATATGTGGGATACAATGATTGAGAAGGTGAAGCAAGCTATTTACAGGCATGAGGGTAAAAGGGATAACGAGGAATCTCCTTTTTATGAGGTGGTTCACAAGATCTTGGTGGATCGATGGAACAAGGGCAACACCCCGCTTCAGTGCTTGGCACTCTTTAGTTCCAAGGTAATATTTCACATTTTACTCTTTAATGCGAATATTTCAATTAATTTTAATACATGAATTTCTTCTCACAAACATAGGTACTATCATTCCACATGGCTCAATGAGAACGTCAATCGGCAACCTCCAAATCAAGATCTTGAGATCTCTACAGAAAGATCAAAGTGCTTAAGAAGATATTATCCTAACCCCGATGAACGATTGGTGGTGAACTTGGAATATGCTAAGTTTGTGGGGTCTTTGGAGGCTTTTGGTGATCCGGATTCTCTTTCCGATAGAGGACATATGGATCCAAAGTCATGGTGGCTTCTTTATGGTGCAAGTGCTCCAAATTTACAAGCATTGGCCATAAAGCTTCTAGGCAAAGTCATGGTGGCTTCTTTATGGTGCAAGTGCTCCAAATTTACAAGCATTGGCCATAAAGCTTCTAGGTCAACCTTGTTCCTCTTCTTGTTGTGAACGGAATTGAAGTACGTATGGTTTCATTCACTCCTTAAAGAGGAACAAGCTAACCCCGACACGGGCGGAGGATCTTGTTTATGTTCACACCAACCTTCGTTTACTTTCTCGGAATTCGGAAGAGTATATGGAAGGGGAATCAAGAATGTGGGATATTGGTGGAGATGCCTTCGACTCATTTCAAGGAGCCGGCATGTTAGATGTTGCTGCCCTTTCTCTTGACGAGCCCACGATGGAGGCCATTGTGTTTGATGAGGATGAAAGAGTTGAATCCATAGAATAATCTTTTTGATGTTTCAACTTGAAAACTTTATTTTAAGATATGCTTTTGAGTGTAATTTTTATATTTTTGCAATGTTAGTAACTTAGTATTTTGTAGTCATTGAACTAGTTGCAACTTGAACTTTATTCTCTTGTATTTTTATATGCTCAAGATGAAAGTAGTGAAAATTAAAAAATCTAGACGTGTCACCGTATCCTATTTTTTAGGGTTTTGCCGTATCCGTGTCCGTGTCTGTGTCGTGTCCGTGTCGCCGTATCCGTGTCCGTGCTTCATAGGCCTCCATCGTGGGCTCGTCAAGAGAAAGGACAGCAACATCTAACATGCCGGCTCTTTGAAATGAGTCGAAGGCATCTCCACCAATATCTCACATTCTTGATTCCCCTTCCATATACTCTTCCGAATTCCGAGAAAGTAAACGAAGGTTGGTGTGAACATAAACAAGATCCTCCGCCCGTGTCGGGGTTAGCTTGTTCCTCTTTAAGGAGTGAATGAAACCATACATACTCCAATTCCGTTCACAACAAGAAAAGGAACAAGGTTGGCCTAGAAGCTTTATGGTCAATGCTTGCAAATTTGGAGCACTTGCACCATAAAGAAGCCACCATGACTTTGGATCCATATGTCCTCTATCGGAAAGAGAATCCGGATCACCAAAAGCCTCCAAAGACCCCACAAACTTATCATATTCCAAGTTCACCACCAATCGTTCATCGGGGTTAGGATAATATCTTCTTAAGCACTTTGATCTTTCTGTAGAGATCTCAAGATCTTGATTTGGAGGTTACCGATTAACGTTCTCATTGAGCCATGTGGAATGATAGTACATATGTTTGTGAGAAGAAATTCATGTATTAAAATTAATTGAAATATTCGCATTAAAGAGTAAAATGTGAAATATTACCTTGGAACTAAAGAGTGTGCCAAGCACTGAAACGGGGTGTTGCCCTTGTTCCATCGATCCACCAAGATCTTGTGAGCCACCTCATAAAAAGAAGATTCCTCGTTATCCCTTTTACCCTCATGCCTGTAAATAGCTTGCTTCACTTTCTCAATCATTGTATCCCACATATCATACACCAAATGAAGACATGATGTATCGGTGTCGGTGACCCTTATCATTTCATAGATTGGGCAGGTGAAGTCAAGAATAAAATCTATCTTGTCCCACCACAAATCATCGAGGACTTTCACTTTCACAAATTGAGCTTTCTCCACATCATCGTCTCTATATAAGCTCCATCGATCACTAAGGACCATGTCTTGGAGGCCTCTCTTGACGACCTTAAACCTCTTCAACATAATAATCCACGAGGCAAATCTTGTGTCGGCAATTGATAGGAGCTTCATCTTGGAAAAATCATTGAATATGGAAAGCCGCATAGAGTGATTCATGATAAAATTCTTCATAAACAATGCATCATCGGAGATCTCTGTAATCCAATGTAATTGTGCATAAGCCACGGTATTTGCTTCCGTGTTCTTAGCCGCACAAATATTCTTGACAGCAAGATTGAGTGTATGGTATACACAATGAGTTCAAAATATGTGAGGCCAAGTTTGCTCCACAAGCCCTCCCGCGGCCTTGCATGCCGAAGCATTATCGGTTATGATTTGGATGACATTTTTCGGTCTCACCTCTGTGATGCACTTTTCTAGCTGTGTTTGGATAAAATACTTATTCTTGACTTCTCCTCACATACCGTTATAAAATTGATGATGGGTCTTCTTTGTGCATCCGCCTACCCATCACTACAAATGAAGACCCCATTCTGTTGCCATGTGCCCCTGATGGGCTCCATCAATCTCTCTACGTGAGTTTTCTCACGTTGTAAGATAGTGGTCATCATGGAATTGTAACCATGAGGCTTGTAGCCAGAAATTGGATTGTTTGCGGCATATGCAAAAGCTTTGGCATAATATGGATTCCTTGTCAAGTTGAAGGACAATCCTCCGGTGAAAAACATCCTACCAATCAATGCATCCAATTCCTCTCTTGCTCCCATGTTGAATGCTTGTTCCACGGTATTAGGCCCCCTCCTCTTAAATCCACCTGCATCAATCGGCATGCTTGCACTTGCACCTACACCGGCCGTACTTGCAGTCGAAGATGTAGGCAAAACTGACATCTTAGGCCTAGAAGCCATCAACCTCGCCTCTGCTTGATCCAACGCCCTTTGAAACTCCCTTAAATTTTCGGGTGTTGACTTGGAACACATCTTAATTCCAGTCTCACTTATCCTCAAGAGGTGATTTTTAACTCTTGAGTGTGAACCGGTAAAATCCTCTCTGCAATAATTACATCTCCATCTTCAATTTTCTCCTGTCGTTCCCCCCTTTTCTTCAATTTGGTAACATATTTTCAAAGCGGACATTTGTCATCTTGTATTCCACTACCACTAGAACTCCCGTCTTGTTCCATTTCTGTAAAATATAAGCAATAACAATAAATTAAAAAATTAATAATAGTAAAGCAGTAACTAAAAGCAAACAACAGTAGAACAGTAAACAATATCCTAATTAACATTTAAATTAGCATACAATAGTAGAACAGTAAGCAAACAACAGTTAAACAATCGTAATTAACTTTTAAATTAGCATACAATAGTACAACAGTAAGCAAATAACAGTTAACATTAAAAAATTATCTAACAGCAGCAAAACAGTAAAAAAAAGAATAATTAATCAACAGCAGCAAAACAGCAAATAAAAAATAGGAGCTAACCCAACCAGCAATCAACAGTGAGCAAGGAGAAGACCAACCCAAGCAGCTCCAAACAGTAAGGCATTCAACAGTAAGAAGAGGGAACATTGAATGACAAAGTAGCAAACAGTAATCAACTAATGACAAAGTAGCAAACAGTAATCAACTATTTTAAAAGCAAACAGTAATCAACTATTTTAAAAGCAAACAGTAATCAACTTTTTTAAAATATATAACCATCGTAGTGGGGGGCAGAGGTGCTTTGAAAGTTGGGTGCGATTTTTGAGAGAGAGAGAACAGTGGATTGTGGGGTGATTGTAGAGTTCGTGGGGGGTTTTGTGAGTCGGAAAAGTTGCTGGGGTTTTTTTGTGGTGAGAGCGTGAAAGAGATAAATGAGGGAGAGAAAGAGATAAGAGAGAGAGAGAAAGAGAGAAACAGAGAGGGGGGGATGAGAGAGAGCGAGAGAAAAGGGGGAGAGAGAGAGGGACTGACCTTGGAGCTGACGACGACGACGACGACGATGACGAAGAGGACGACGACGACGACGACGAGGACGAGGAGATTGAGAGCTGAGAGCTGAGAGCTGGCGGCGCCTCTTCACTTCGCAAGAGCCCTTTCGACGAGAAATCGGGTAAGTTTTCTCACTAGGGTTAGGGTTTGGGTTTCTGTTTGAAATTGGGTTTCGGGTTTGGGTTTCAAATTCTGGTTTCGCCGTGTCGCCCTCAACTTCGCCGTGTCGCCGTCAACTTCGCCGTGTCGACGAGAGCTGACCGTGTCGACGCCGTTGACGCCGTGTCTGACGCGTGTCGAACGCGTGTCGAACGCGCGTCCGTCCCCGACAAGCGTCGGACACGGGGACGGGGGGAGTTTTCACGAGTCGGTGCTTCTTAGACCACTAACTTATTTCGAATTATAGGAGTTACCAATTTCCCAGTTCCACAATTATAACGCCTATACGGTTCCATGTACAATATTTGGCAACGTAGCATGCACGCCTTTCACCTCAGAAGTTCCACATTTATCATTTGATTACCATATAGATATGAAACAAAACATGTTGTGGTTTACCTCCAAGACAAACTGTGAGGCTTAGTTTATTACCTTGCTTATCTAAAAGATGAATAACAATTAAACTCTGGATTAACTGAAATGAGATGCACTGAAATGAGATGCACTGAACAACAACATCCTAAAAGATGAATAACAATCAAAACATCTGTCTTGATAAATTAGCAGAAAAGAAAATCAACTGCTCAATATGTTATATTTCTAGAAGAAGGTTCTCCCCATCTTTTTCTTATCTTGTAAATCCAAGAACATTTAACAACAAAAGTTAGTTCCATGCAGGTAATAATTTATATACAAGTATATACTGTGAAACAGTTGGCACCCCATAGCTCAGTATACTATTCAAGGAAAGGGAACTGCAGCTAATTTGAACTTTAAAATAAGATCAAAAATATAATGTACGGTCAATGCAAACAAGAAAAAAGGGTAACCACCTCTTGAAATAGAAGCCTCCTGTCCAACTTTGTCCCTGAGTTGGCTATGATGATCTATAAGAGCAGCCTTCTTGCTGGTAACCTGATAACAAAGACAAAGTTTCCAAGCTCACTAAGTAATTTAAAGGGATCAGAAAATATAAGTCTGGGCAGGGAATAGAACTAAATGACACTCTGATGGGACTATGTAAAATTGTCTGGACATGCAAAATACAAATAATTCCAAGAGAGCTCATGTTTTATACTGAGTCGGTAACATGTAAGTGCTTAAATGTCACACCTCTTTGAAATCCAGCTCCACATATAGATGTGGTGCAATTCCTTCTTCCTACAACATATAAACAAAGTCAAAGTTAAATAAATGTCATATGTGCAAAACGTAAATAGCCCCACATCAAAATCTATATTTAACCTGTACTCAGACCAAAAAAACCGAAATTTGTGGTAGCTGAATAATGTAATGAAACAAAGAAATAATATCAAGCAAAAGGATCACAGATGTTAGGGGCAACTTAGCTTACCACCAACTGAAAGTAGGTTGTGTCAAACCCAGCTCCAAGTGACAATATTTGTTTCTTTGTCTGGTTGCCATCATTGTTAGATATTTCCGAATTCAGAAACTGGAGAAGTAGCTTCCGAAGAGCAGCCCAACGAGCAAAATATCCTTAAAAAATGATATATATGGTATAAAATCTAGTCATATCAAGAATATATAAAAGAAATTTTGTGACCTCCTGTCTGTTCGTCAATACCACGGTTGATTATTGGAGATCTCTTTATGGCTTTTCTAACAAAAAAGTGGATGTACTCGTCCTTCATGTATCCTTTGTTGACACAGGACCTTTAAAGGGTAGAAGCATTAGACGGAAGTAGAAGTAAAGGAATAATTATCAAATTGATCAGGGGAAGGATACATGTAATGTAACCATAAGCAATACAACACTAAAACTGAACATCCTATTCAATGTTTTGCATGAATTGTTTTATTGACTGTCAGAAAACTTATGCAGTAGCAAAAGAGCATGTGTGACACATTCAAAGCTTGTTATTCTGCGCACAAAGGAAATACATGCAATACACATATCTAAGGATTCTTCGTACAGCCAAATTATTATTTTAACCATATAATGATGTAGAGTGCTCAGGATTTCATCGGATGGCTACTAATATAATCAGATCACCAAATAATCTACTAAAAGAATGTTAGTGTAATCACGTGTTCAGAGGACCCAAATGCATGCATGTGAACTGCTTGCATTTAAGAATTTGTCCAGATACCAAGTAATTATCAAACCACATATAAATTAATTACATGTAAAGCCAGTGTTATCAATGTGTGAAGCGCAATGCGGGGGCGCAAAGTCTCTTTACGTGCACAAGCACAAGACGCAATGGGCTTAACGCGCCCAAGTGAAGCGAGGTGCACACCATACATAATTTTTCAAGATAGATAATCAAGCACGAAATAACATGTTTATGAACTTTTACACAAAAATATGTCAACATAAATAATATATACTACCTACGTTAGCTGGGTACTACTAACCGAAGCCGCACCCGTACCCGACATGTACCCATACCCGTATCCGTACCCAAACTCCTCAAACACTCCTTGCACATATGGAAACGTTTATTCCTGCATATAGTCACTTATGCAATAAATATATTTTAAATTAAAACACTTCGCATAAACTTCTTGGATGCATATCCTGCACTTTATATCCACTTCCTAAAACTCATTCGACATAGGTCTGGTTTCAAACTATCATTTGAAGGGTTGTTTGGGTGTCTAGTTCAAAAATAATGTTTTCCAATTTATAATACACATAATTAAAGAAACATAAAAATATTATAGGAGTTTTAATTCTCATAACAAGTGAATAAAATACAATATTGATCTTGTGTAAATTATTTATTTCAATGTATAAAATATGCATGTATATATAAATATTTATGTAGTCGTGTCCCCGTCCCTACCTTTTACAAATTTGTCAAGTCCTATACACATACTCATACCGGCGCCCATACTCATACATGTTTCCATGCAACTTAATCTACTACCAAAACAAAAAAAGGGTCCTCAATCAAAGCAAAATCAGGATAACAATAAAAAAGAGTTAGGGTCTTCAATCAAAAAAATTTGAGTTGAAATGTTAAATATTGCACCTAATGGTTTTTTTTAAGGTATGGGTTAACGATTATAAAAACCTGATTGAAATGTTAAAGAACAAAAATATACGAGGTTATGCCTTGCATACACCCTATGCAAAGCGCCCTCACACAAGGCAGTTACGAGGCACAAAACAGCCCTCGCGCAATAGATGCAGGGTGCTTCACCACTATCCAGTATCAATGGGCACATGAGGCACAACAAGACGTGCGCCATTGATAACATTATGTAAGGCACTTGACAACATCCCCTGTGAAGTGGTCTGGAAACTCTCAACCTAATATGAATTTGTTGCAATGAAGGCACTGACTGCCAAGTAGGTCTGTATATAGCAATATCACAATATGTCACGTTAGTTTGAAATATAGAACACTTATGGTATTAGAAAATGGTCCAGTGACATCAAGTTCATACACACACGTTTATATGTAAGGCACATAGAACCCAATAACCCGCAGTAAGGACTATAAGTTAGGTAGGTCAGAAAATAGAAATTTTTAGTTAACAATTTGTTATACTCCTAAATCAGATTTGTATATCCACGCCAGAATCATTCACTTATTTGGGTCCCTATTAAGCCGCCTCCCTTTCTCAAAAGAATTCAAAACTGCTTGACAACATTGATCTAGTTGCTGGTGCTAAGGGCCATGTCGCCTTATGGTTCGTTTCTTACAGATGTCAATTCCATGGTTTTAAATATCGGCCAATAATCCGATATTATCGCCGAGTTATTGGATTTGGGAGCTTTCCGCTAGGATAAGTAGGATTTTTAATCAGTTATCATTTTTTGAGGTTTATCGGTGATAAAGGTACTTATCGGCTGATAAGTAGGCTCTAAATATCGGTTTTATCGACCGATAAGTAGGATTTAGGAGCTTTTACTTTCTTTTGAATTTTCTCTTTGAATGTTTACAAATTATGAACTATTTGTTGCTTTTGAAACTTGGTTGATTGGTGATTAGCTTATGTTTGTTTATGGATATTGATAATGGCTCATAACTACTAAATATCAACTGAGTAAGTTAATTTATGAATCTCATGATTAATAATTATGTAGATGCGTAGATGGTTCTTCATTCTTGATGTTATCTTATTATTTGCTTGTTTATTATTCCATTTTGACTAACATTATATTTTTTTCAAGCTTATGTTTGTTTATTATTTGCTAGTATATTACTCCGATAAATACTACTTATCCCTGATATATCCCCGATTTTCGCTATCCGATAAGGATTTTGACCGTCCGATAAATCCCCGATAACCGATATTTAAAACCTTGGTCAATTCCTTATTCCCTTTTCACAGCCTGCCCTCCAATAATTTATTTGTTGTTCTTTCATCTCTTGGTAGCTTGTCAACAAAATTGAGTACATTATCGAGCCTAGCTCTTAAAACAACATTATCACATTCTGCTACACAAGAAACTTTTTTTGTAGTAATGGCTGGATCGACTAGTACCTTGTCCACGGAATAGAACAAAGCAAATTATAACATAGCAATGAACAACGGGATGATACTTGGGGAGAATGCATATCTTACTTCAAACAAGGCCAAAAGGAGGTTTCTTGATTTAATTGAGATAACATTCAATGTAGAAATAGACGCATCATACAACATCCCTAGGATATTTTGTGCATCTGTTTTCGTCATGAGTGGAGTGCCTAGAGGATTGACAAAAGGAGAATGCCGCAAGAATAGGACGACAATCATGTACAAGCAATCGGTGTTTCAGATTCTACGCTTTTCAGCATTCCTATTTTTTTCTAATATTGCACTTGCGGTAAAAGAATTTAAATTTAGCCCGGTCTACCTATCCCTATTATGAACTTTTACTCAAGTGGAATTCCAAGAAATAAATAAATAACATATTATCCCATCTTCATTTTGTTTTTGCTTTGAATGTTAAAATAATAGCATATGCATCAAGTAAGTAGATCCCAAGACTTTTTATGTCATAAAAATAACCGCACCTTTCAAATCTATTTGCGTCATCAGACAGGAGAACTAGTCAATAAATAATGCCCGTGCTTAAATAAATCCAGGAAGTGTCCAAAAAGCAAAAGTTGGGATAAACCACTGGGCACCATGAAATATTTAGTGTACTTCTGCATAAAATTCGATTGTGTTAAAACCTTAAAATTCGAGCACATGTTTCAATTTTCGAGCAGGGATTTTTCTCGGTAAAATTTGTGATTAGTAATATGTGTTCCTATTTAAACCCCATTATGATGGTCAAAAGATGAAAATTCACGATCCATGAGTCAATTTTCTCGGTTTTCCAACGAAACCATACGATCTCCCTTGCTGTAATCTCTAATCTTGAACTAAGATAACATAATCTAAATCTGACGAATCGAATAAAGAGAAATAGAGAGAGGGAGAAGTACAGTTTGCTGGCGGAGGCGTCGTCGTTGGTTGCCTGGACGGCGGCGGTGCTGCTGTGAGAATCGCCGGAATTTCTCGCCATCGCCGCAGAAACTGGAGGAGGAGGAGGAGGAGACGAGGGCCCAGGAATGAGGTCCGATTATAGAGCGAACGGGCGTCGCGTTTTATCGAGGCGACGTGAGTTAATAGAGGATCGGGTCGGGTCAAACCGACTCAAACGCCCATCCGCGTTATTTCTACGCTGGAAAACATTTTCAAAATAGCCCCAAACTAAACTTTTATTACAAAAATCGACCCACTTTCTGATCACGTCAGCACTGTGGCCAAAAAGTGGATCGGTTTTTTTTAAACTCATTTCTAACTAGTCAGGGTTGTCAACCCCGACTAGTTTGGACGTCGCTAGGAATTACCAGCTAAATTAGTCGGGGTTCGAAACCCCGACTAATTTAACACACGTTTAAATTGGTCGAGTTTGGGAACTCTAACCATTTCTTCTCAAACTTTTTTAATTTAGTTGGATTTTTGTTGGTTGCAGAGTGGTGATCAACAATGTGGCGTGCTCGACGACCACGATCATAAAAGTTGATAGCGCTCAAAAGCAAGGGCTTCACCTCGAAGCGGTTTGGGTCTTATCGGATCTCAACCTATGGATCCGCAAAGCGTACATCTCCTCCGACGGCCAATGGTTCATGGATGCCTTCCACGTCACCGATCACCTCCCCCGCAAGCTCGCTGATGATCGAGTCATCGCCTACCTCGAGCAGTCGCTCAACGACTCCGATCTCGAACTCAGATCTGATTCCTTCGCTGGTCTCGAGCTCACCGGCACCGACCACCTCGTCCTCGAGCTCACCGGACTCAGATCGGGGATCGACAGCGACATATAGTAATCGAGAGTGACTATCCGAAGGCTGAAGGTGTCGTCGCCATTGGACTGAGAAGGAGTCGACATGAGAGAGTGAGTATTTTCTTTTTTTTTTTCCTTTCTTTTCTTTTAATATGGTTTATTGTGAGTGTGGACTAACGAAGAAAGGTGGAAGCGTGATGGTCACTTGAGCGTCGGCTACTTCTCGGAGAAGTTGGTCGGGTTGTTTGAGAACTTGGCTTGGACAACTTCGATCGATTTCATAGTCGGTCTAAATGGTCGGGGTTCCCAACCCCGACCAATTTAAACGTGTGCTAAATTAGTTGGGGTTTTGAGCCCGACTAATTTAGCTGGCAAATTCCCAGTGGAGTTTAAAATAGTCGGGGTTGCTAACCCCGACTAATTAGAAACAAGTTTTAAAAAACGACCCACTTTCTGGCCACGGTGCTGACATGACCAAAAAGTGGGTCAATTTCTGTAATAAAAATTGAAGGGGGTCGATTTTAAAAAAGTTTGGTTTGGGCTTATTTTAAAAATTTCTTCTTCTACGTTGGGATCTTGCAATATTACTGGGAATTTTTTTCTAACTTTTTGGGAAAATTACTTCTAGCCCCCAACTTCCTTACAAGTATTCCGCCCGTACCCAAGACTTTTTCAACGCTCCCAAAATCCTTAAAAACAAAGACATAATTTTCTGAGCCCCAAAACACAAAACCCAAGAGTGTAAAACGTGTGATGACCATAATATCATTTCTCTCTCTTTTTTTCATGATGTTATTGTGATGATTTAAAATGGGTTTTGGGTGGGGGGGGATTCTAGTTCTCTCCAAAATTTTCCAACTGTGGCAACATCGGCGGCGAAACTTTCTCGATGTCCGTCATCAGCGTCAAAGAAAACTGCGATCTTGAAGATAGTGATAACAAGTTGCGTCGCCATCCCCCTTAAGTTTACATGTTGTTGTAAATTTTTTTTAAATCGATGGCTTGAAATTAAAGTAGAGTATATATTGTTGTTATTTCATAGTAATAAGTCTGTTGTTAAACTTATGAGTTGGTGGTGAATGAAGGTTACGTGTTGGTTGTGAAGTTTACGAGTTAGTTGCCAAGGACATGTGTTGGTTGTGAATATTACGAGTTGGTTGTGAAAAGGTTACGCGTTGGTTGTGAAGGTTACACGTTGGTTGTTAAGGCTATGAGTTGGTTGTGAATATTACAGGTTGGTTATAAAAAGGTTACGCATCGGTTGTGAAGGTTATGAGTTGGTTGTGACGGTTACGAGTTGGTTGTGAAGGCTATGAGTTGGTTGTGGTGGTTACGAGTTGGTTGTAAAGGAAGGTTACATGGTGATTTTGAAGGTTACAAGTTGGTTGTGAAGTTTACGAGTTAATTGCCAAGGGTACGTGTTGGTTGTGAAGGTTACGAGTTAGGTTGTGAAGGATACACGTTGGTTGTGAATGTTACGAGTTGGTTGTGAAAGTTAGTTAACTACAACCACAATCAACTCATTGCCGAGGTTCACAACTAACTCGTAACCTTCACAACTCAAAACCTTCACAACAAACCCATAACCTTCACAATTAACGCGTAACATTCACAACCAACGCGTAACATTCACAACCAACTCATATCCTTCACAACCAACGCGTAACATTAACAACCAATGCGTAATCGTTACAAACTTACAATCAACTCATAACCTTCACACCCAACTCGTAACATTTTCATAACCAACTTGTAATATTCATAACCAACACGTATCCTTGGCAACTAACTCGTAAACTTCACAACCAATGCGTAACCTTCAAAACTAACACGTAACCTTTATTCACTACCAACTCATAAGCTTAATAATAAACTTATTGCAGTGAAATAAACAACAATATATAAATTTACATACTCTACTTTAATCTCAAGTCACCGATTTCAAAAAAAGTTACAACAATATGTAAATTTAAGGGGTTTGGCGCGCAACTTGTCATCATCGTCTTCAAGATCGTAGTTTTCTTCGCCACTGATGATGTATGTATAGGTTGTCTAAAAATTACTGTAGATAGTTGATCCCCATCAAACACCGATGATGGAAGTTACAATTTTATGGCTTCTAGAAGGCTACAATTGGAAAATTTTCACGTAAATCAATGAAGGTTACAAGGTGGCGACCTTCACAACAACCGATGAAAGCTCTAATTCAACAGCCTTCACAATCAACATCGGGAATTATAATCTGACGACCCTCATGTTTTTAAGGAGCCAAGATAAAAGTTACAAGATGATGATCTTTGTAACACTCTAGCAAAAGAGACTACAAATTGACGATCTCTTCAAATCAAAACGCAGATATTTCTCAAACCGTAAGGAATTTGGTGAAACAGACAGGAGCAAACTAAACCCTTTGGGGCGAGTTTGGTCGACTCCGTCTCATCAAGATAGCCGGTTTTATATATAATTCGTACAATTCTGACTTACAGTTTGAAAGTTATGACATGTTCTTCACAGCAAGTTATGTTCTGAAGTCCGTTTGCAAGACTGGACTTTACCTGAACATTGGACTTAGCCTGAAGCTCATCAAGCCCGCTTGAGACTCGCCTCTACATTCCAGAGTCAAAACACAGAGTTCATCACTGCGACAAAACGCAGAGTTCGTAGACTCAAAACGCAGAGTTCATGCAGAGCCCAACTCTGCGTCCCAGGTCCAGAACGCAGAGTTCATGCAAAGCCCAACTCTGTGTTCTAAGTTCAGAACACAGAGTTCATTTATGCGTCTCAGATTCATAACACTGTGTGAACACTGTGTTTTCAGCCTTAAACAAGCCTAACTCTGCGTTTTAGGTCTAAAACGCAGAGTTCGGGCCCGGAACGCTATTTTCAGCGTTTGACTCGTTCAAACATGAGCTGAACGGTTCCAGGAACCGTTTTCCCCCCTACGATTGGAGGCATTTCCGCCCCACTTAGGAGCGGATTAAGGGGACAATTATCACCCTTAATCCCTCTATAAATAACGGAAAAAACTCAACTGAGTGAGGATTTTTGGGTGATCTAGAGATCAACTTTGGATCGGATCTTTTGGAAGGCTTTTGAGATCGACTACCTGGAGATCAATCCTTGACTTTTTGGAGATCCACTTCAGCAAAAGAAACTCATTGGAGTTTTAGTACTTGGCTTACAAATCGATTTTCGGTTTAAATCAACTCTGTTACAGAGTTTAAACTCGTTCTGAGTTCTAAAACTCATTAAGAGTTATCTTAAAACTTACCACACAAGTTTCATCGACTTCAATCCAGCGATGTATTAGGATTGTCAACGAGAAGCAAACTCGATACGAGTTTCGAGGGAGGTAGTTCATCGTTACCGTGAAGAACCCAATTTTAAACAAATGGAAGGATCTCCGTCAATCCATCTCTCTTTTGTAAATCAGGATTCTGATTAAGAAGAATTGTAATTTCTTTTTTAGAGTTTGTTAGAGAGAAATTTTATTGAGAACGCTATAATCATTCTTTATTTAAATCGGTTAGAGAGAATAAAACTTTTTTGTTCTCAATTTTCTTCTTCAAATTTTCCCACCAAACAGTACGCCTGGAAAGTTTCGTTGCGATGTCGATGCCATTGGAAAAATTTAGAGGAACTAGAATTTTCCTCCAAAACTCATTTCTAATCATCACAGTAACATCATGAGAGAGAGGGTATTATGGTCTTCACATGTTTTAAACTCTTAGGTTTTGTATTTTTGGGCCTCAGGGAATTATGCATTTGCTCTTGGGGGTTTTCGGAGCATTGAAAAAGTCTTGGGGGGAGACGGAATGCTTGTAAGGAAGTTGGGGGCTAGAAGCAATTTTCCCTAACTTTTTTAGGAAAGGGTTTTTCTAATCATCAAATTCGAACCCGAATTCGAATATCTTTATCTGGATGTTTTTCGAATTCATGCTTGGATACTTAGAATTTAAGGCATGCTAGTTGAGATGCACGTGCAATGCACGTGGTTGAATATCATGATTATTTAAATTGATAAAAATAGAATAAAAAACAAAGTTTTTTGTGAGATTGATCATCAACTCAATAATATCTCTCTCAAATAAAATATTGTCATTGTTTCATTTAACCTAAAATGTGGTCACGCGATCTACTATTTGTGAGTTATAAACATGTTGATATAATACAACATCTCTATTGATGTTTGGTAGAAAAATTTAAAGAAGAAAATCGAGAACAAAAATATGTTATTCTCTCTAAATGATTTAGATAAAGAATGATTACAATGTCCTCGATATAATTTCTCTCTAATAAACTTTAGAA